GCCCCGCAGGACTCTGGCCTGCTGCGTGACCCCCACGCACACCTCCCATTCCCGCGCGGGGCCCTGCGGCGCGGAGCTCTGTGCTTGCGGGTGACGGTGGCCGCTCTATGCCTCAGTTTCTCCACATGGAAAGTGCCTGCGCGAACCTTCCACGCCGACGCGGTAAGCCTCAGGCCCAGGCCCAGTGCTGGCCGCGCCCCTCCCCGTCACGGGCTTACCTTTACCTGCAGTGGGGCTGCGTCTGCTGCTGCGTTGCCCTCCCGCCTTCCGGCGCCGGGGCCTTCCGGGTCGCCGCGGTCCCCTCCGCCCCCTCTCCCGCCCCTGTTTGTCCCCTCGACTGCCACGGGATCCGAACTCGGGAGGGGACACCGAATGGGGTGGGGATCAGGAGATGAGCCCTTTCCTGCATCTCACACTCCCTTTCCATCTGGCTCCCTGGCCTAACTCAAGCCTGTGAGGGCCTCCAGGAGACCTTTGTCCTCCTTGGCCTGGGCGCAGGGTCTCAGACCTTCAGGCCCCTCCCCGCGGCCTGGGCAAGGGAGAGGGCGCAGGGACTGAGTTACTGTTTGGTGTTTGAAAACCTTAGGCCAGAGTCAAATGGTTTGGAAAGGAGCAGTGTGAGGTGGCCACTGCCTATAATCCCAGCAGTCTGAGAGGCTGAGGCAGGAGAAGTTCCAGTCCAGCCTTGGCGACTTAATAACTTGCTGGACAATATCCTGTCTCATCAAATAAAATAATAAAATAAATAAAATCGAGCTGGGGGAGAGTGCAGAGACAAACAGAGCATGGCCTGCTTTCCCAGGGCTCTCCAGAGCGGTGGGTGACCTGGGGGCCCGAGGTTGGGCGAGCCTGGATGCAGCCCAGGCTTTAAACAGGCGAACTGCTCCCCTACACCACCTCCAGAGGCTTTGGAGAAGGAACCCCTCAGGCCTCAGGCTCTGCCGGCCCAGCCCTGCCAGCCTAGGCCAAGCCCCCCTGGTGGGTGCAGCGCTGCTTGGTGAGGAGAATGGCGGTCCTCTGAAAGCTGGGCTACTTTGGGCACAGAACTGCACAGATCCGGGTCCTGGGGTGACTGCTGTGTCCCAGTTGATGGAGACCGCACCTCCTTTCAATGAGGGCCAAAAAAGGCCTCACCCGCCCTGGAAGGTGAGGGAGCCCTGGCGGAGGGCCCGCGGAACTGCTGGAGGTCATGGCGTTGCCAAAGAGAGAAAGTAACACTCCAGTTTGGCCAATTGGAAATGCCCACCACCCACTGGGAAGATTTACTGGCTGTCCTTAGTAGGCCTGTGTGTATAACGTGAAAAGGCTGCTCTCAACATTTCCCCCAACCTTGTCAAAGAAAACTTGCTGCACGTGGACAATATAGATGTATAGAGCTTGTCCACGAATGAATGATAAAGTAGTTAGGAAAACCGCCGTTTTGGAAACGCCCTTTGCTTAAAAAAAAGAGAAATGTTTTCAGAAGGTGACTTTGAAATGGAGCTGCATAGATCACCTGAAGAAGTGACAGTAGGAGTGATACTTATCTATACTTGTTCTATGAAGCAGAAGACAGAAGAAAAGAAAAGCCAGTGCTAGACTGGTTCCATGCAGAAGACATTTTTTCATACATATATGCATGCCCAAGTATTTGCTTGTTTGAGGCAAGGTCTCCCTTTGTAGTTCAGGCTGGCCCTGAACTCACTATGTAGCTGAGGCAGGTCTCAAACTCTTCCCACCTTCTGCCTCAGCCTCTGGTGTGCTGGGATTACAGGTGTGTACCACCGTGCCCAGCTGACGATGCGAAGTACTTTATTGAGCCATCTGATCTTTTGAGTTAATTCTCAAGTGCCTGGTACATGTTAAAAAACTAAAAGTAGTGTAGTTGTCCAGGGATTTTAGCTCAGTGGTTCTGCTGCCTGTCTGCTTTACAAGCACAAGGCAGCAAAAAAAGAAGAAGCAAAAAGTAGAAGTAGTAAAATGACACATTTTGTAAATTTCTTTTTGTTAGAACTCACATGTTATTGGATAGTACACATTGAATAGTACACATTTTTTTCCAGCTTTAATTGAGTTTATTGGTACATTTGAGGGATACAGTACAGTTACATTCATTGTTGGGATCTGTACCTCCACATGACAAGTCTTGGTTCTCATTTTTTCCCCTTGTCCCTGCCCTCCCTTCACCCCCTCCTCCCCTCCCCATCTACAACCACTTTATTTCCATCTTTTCATTATCTCACATTTTAGTACACATTGTTTATTCACTGGTTTTCAGAAGAGAAGGAAATGCAGAGTGCTGTACTCATGCACTTAGAGCAAGGCAAATTGCCATTGTCCCTTACATCTGTGCATTGTTATTGCTGTGCATTATTGTATGTAAAGGACAAATGAGACCTTATACAACATCTGGTCTCCTAGATGTTAAAGAAGTTGCCAGTTTTGATAAAAGTAGAGTTAGTTGCCAGGTGTGGTGGCACACGCCTGTAATCCCAGCACTTGAGGCAGGAGGTGCTGAGAGTTTGAGACCTGCCTCAGGTACATGGTGAGTTCCAGGTCAGTCTCAACTACATAGTGAGGCTCTGTCTCAAAAACAAAACAAAACAAAACAACAACAACAACAAAAAAAAAGCCACACACATAGAGTTAGTAAACCAACAAACATTGTACATTTGTATTAGAATTCCTAGGAAAGATTGTCTTCTGAAAATGTGAGCATTTTAGCCCACCGGGTTAGTGGAGAAGGGAAGGGTTCTAGACTCAAATGCTCATATTTCCAAGACACTTTCAACTATTATTACACGTGTGCAGTTTAGCCAAGACTGCTGTGGATATGTAATAGATAAACTGAGTCCTGACTTGACACATCTACCCTCTCTTTTTGGTACTGGAGGAGACTGAACTCAGGATCTTGCTCTTGTAAGGCAGGCATAGTGCCACTGAGCTAAGTCCTGCTCCCAAAACATCTAGTCTTATCTGGATATTTAGAAGTGCCCAGTGTATGTTAAATGTAGAGTTGGTAAAATATCACTTTGCAAAATATCTTTTTGCTAAGCTTCATATGAGGTATCGTCTTTTGGGAATGGGATGATTAAGCCACCTCTTGAGCAATATGGTGCTGTCTGTACTTGTTCAGTGGTTTGGAAGAGGTAGGAGGGAAACACTCACAAAAGGTAATGTTAGTGCGTTTGTACCTGGACATTTTGAGACATAACTTTTCTGTATGTTTTGTGGGCTTTGTTTTGCTGTGTATACAGTGTATGTAATAGACAAATAAGCCCAAAGTTTGCAACATCTAGCCCGTAAGTGTTAAAGAGGTCACCAGTGAGTGACAAAGTGGTACAGTGAGCACATTTTGTACACTTCCTGTTGAAATACACAGAAAAGCCTGTCCTCCGTAAGTGAACTTTGGATTTAACCATCTCTAACATTACGTATTCCTCCTGTACTTGTCCTCTGGTTGAAGTCAGAGGAGGAAGTGAGGCCAAGATGGTCAGATATGGGAGACACCTCAGAGTACAACTGAGGTTATATGTGCAATTTTATTTATCAGTGTGCTATATGATAGCAGATAAGTTCTTATATGAACAGTCTAGTTCTGGGTATCTAGAAGCGCTTGATATATTTAAAATTGGAGGTAGTAGAACATGGATGCTTTGTAAGTAGCTTTTATAAACTGATAGGAAATACTGTGTTTTCAAAAAGAAAGGTCAAACAAAAAAATGTAAAAAATAAAAATGAGCTAGGGAATGTAGCTCAGTGTAAAGGCCCTGGGTTCAATTCCAAGTACTGTGGGGAAGGCAGTGGGCAGCACAGGCTTTGCTTGCTCCTGGGCCTCCAGAGGCAGGATGGTCCAATGTCAAGGGCAAGATTGAGTTGGGGAACTCAAAAGGGGCGGAGGGCTGTAACAGGAGGAAGGAGCAAGAGTATGGTAGAGAGGTCTGTAGAGAAACCCTCTCCCTCCTCCCAGGGATGCAGGGCTGGCCTTGAACCCAGAGCTGAAGGAAGCCTCTGGAGGTTCTCCCAGGACCATGGCTCCTCTTAATCCTGACAGCAGCCTGGTCACCTAGGTGTGTTTGTCATTGCCATGTGACAGACAGGAGAGCCTAGACACAGAGCAGCTGGACTGTCCAGTGTCATCCAGTAAGAAGTTAGGATGCAAACTGCAGTCTGGATCTGATACAGGGCACTATGTAATCTGAATAATGTAAATAATCCAAACAAGGGAAATATTTTAACTCCCAACCTGCTGGGTGTCTGAAATACTGAGTAGTGTTCTCTGAAATCAAAGAATGAATTCTAGGAGCAGAGGAGGTTAAGAGTAGGAACTGTTTATTGAGAGAAAGATAGTTCCTGCCTGAGAGGGACAGAAAACACCCAGAAAGTGGGTTGCCCAGGACCTTGTTTTTCAGGGGGGTTTTATGGAGCAAAGCCATGAGGTAAGGTGGGAACAAAGCAGACAAAACTATAGTCAAATAATAGGATTTAATAGTAGCTCAGGGGTGCCACTACCTTTCTGGCAAGCACAAGGTCCAGAGTGCAATTGCCAATACCAAGAAAAAAAAAATTAATGGAAAATCACAAAGTGGGCAAGAGTTGGGACAAAACCGTGATCAACCAATAAGATTCCAAGTGAAGTCCCTTAGGTAATATTGATTAAATGGGGATCC